AAAAAAAAAAAAAAAAACTGATACCATACATATTAGCAATTGCAGGTTGACCAGAGCTCTTGCCCGGGGAGGTATTTGTTGAGATCCAGGTTGGGCGAGGAGGAGGGTTAGCACATTCAAAGGCTGGTAAAAGGTGGCCTATGCTTCCCTGTAGTATCTGATGTCTGTCTGCCTGTCTTAAAGGTGACTCCTGAGATGTCATCGTTACCGCCTCATGGGCAGGGAAGGGCTGAGGGATTTCCTACGCTTGGCGCTGGGAGAGGAGAGAGGGCTCTCAGGGGCTCGAAGCTGGGCTACGAGGCTGGGCAGGGGCTGGAGAGGGGAGGGGGAAAGCCAAGCACAAGAGGGGGACAGGACCACGTGAGCAGGAAGGGGAGCCAGACTCTGTCAGCGGCTGTGGCAGGGCGCTGCAAGGGGGGCGAATAAACGGCAAATCGGGGCAGTCAGGGTCCTGTGCAGTAGAGGCTTGGAGCCCAGTTCCACCATGCAGCGGGTGTGCCCAGCTGGTAGAGGACAGAACAGAGCCGGGCTCGCGCACAGGACACCTCCCTGTCCCCTCCTGGTCTGATGGGAAGATGCAGCACTCGATTTTACACTTCAGTGGCGCGCGCAAATACGCCGAGGCCTGAGACGCGATACTTACTAAACGGGAAGCGCAGAGTGCAGACTGAGGGATGCTCTGTGTGGATTTAAAAGGCGATTGCTCTAAGATCGCATTCTAAAGAGAGTAAATGAGTGCAAGCTCAATTTAGTCTTAATTTCAGATCTAAAGAACACGCCATCATAGAGTTTATTAGTTTAGCCTTTTTGTATCATTTTTGAGGAAACTGTGAAGTAGAACTTGAAAAAATGAGATGCTCCAAATTGTCAGTGTTAATAGAAATATAATTGCGATATATATTTCAGATAGAAATCTTCCTGTCTTAGTGATTTTTGTCACTGGTAGCATATTATATGCATTACAAAATATAGGCGTATAAACGGACACATGAACATAAATTTATATAACTATACTCCACAGAAATTCAGTATGATTTTTAAGTCTTTCCAAATTCTCAGCATGTTGTCTTTTGGTACAGATAAGGAAATTGTACTCTTAATTCTTTCCTCAAAATTTAAATATCTAATATCTGAGAAAAACAAACAAAAGACTCAATGCAAAAATGCCTGCCGTTCTGAGTTGAAATTTAAAGAAAAATTGCAGCTAAGATGTACATGAATAAGATTTTCCATTTTAGCACTTTGTGTGTGTGTAATTCACTGGCACAGCCAGAGAGCTCCAGCCCCACCCACTTGCCGACGCTTTGCCTCTTACACGGTTGAAACTCTGCCCATCCGCACCACGTCTGACTTTTCTGTCTTGTCTCCCGGTGACCATTACTCTACCTTCTCTCTTTATGATTTCATTATTCTATGTAACTTCTGTAAATGGGCTCATACACTCTTGGTGCTTTTGTGACTGGCTTGTTTTACTTAGCAACACATGGTCACTATTTAAATTTTAAAAATTGCAGTAAAAGACACATTCTTGTTAATCACCCTCAGAATCTTCTCCCTTGCTGGGAATACACTCATCCCATCATCCTTGCCACTTTCTGCAGCAGCTCTGCAGTACTCTTTCCTGAGTGTCTTAGTTGCACTGACCTGGCTGCATTGATGTTTTGAATGGAATCAACACGTTTGCCATTTGTGGTCATTTTGACTTGGGGGAAGAGCCAGAAGTTGCACAGTGCCAAAGCTGGCAAAGCAGGTGGGTGAGGACGCAGTGTTGTGTTTTTGGGAGCTGCCTTTCCACTGGATGGCAGTGGGCAGCAGCACTCACCGTGTTTTTGAACACACTTCATAAAGACACTCAGGAAAGAGGACTGCAGAGTTGCTCCAGAAAGCCACAAGAATCGTGGGGTAAATGTGCTTGAGATGAGGAGAGATTTTTTTCAGAGGGATTCAGTGTGTCTTTTACTACAATAAAATTTTAAAAGTGTATACATTCATCGATCACCTCACGCATCCTGAAGCTTCCCGCACCTTACGCTGATGTCAGAAGTTCTTTCCTCTTCCAGGCTGAGTGATAGTTCACCGAAGGTATCCACCCCTCTTGGTTGATTCGTTTGTCAGTGCGCATTCAGGTTGTTTCCACTGCTTAGCTATCGTGTTTCTTATTGCTTTCCCTTTCTCTGTGTAGATGCCCCGAGTGGACTTGCTGGGTTAGACGGTAACTCTGTGTAATTTCTTGAGGAACGGCCATGCCATCTCCCACCAGCCCTGCACAAGGTTTCTGATTTCTCCAAATCCTCAGGCACACTTGTTATTTTCTGTTTTGCTTTGGCCTTGATTACTGCTCTCCCAGCTGGTGTGAGGTAGCACTGCATTGTGGTTTTGGGCCGCATTTCCCTGATGACCGGCAATGCCGAGGGTCTCTGGATGTGCTTATTGGCTGTCTGTGTGTTTTCTTTGGAGAACACATACCTCTTAAAGGTCTCTGTCTATTTTTGAAGCTGGTCTCTGTTTTAGGACCAGTTAGCAGACTGGGTTGTTGAATCATTATGTCTCTTTAAAAATGTTTTCCTTTAAGAATTTTTCTCTGAGTGGAAGCCACTTGTTTCTCTCACGGGCTGGCCAGCGTTACGCTTATCAGACATGTGTCTGGAGTGTGGGTGAAGAGCAGCCAGCCTTGGCTCCGTCTCCTGGGGCTGCGGGACCCTTGCTCCTGCTGCTTCATCACCTCTCAGATGCATCCACAGAGGCCTGGTGTGCTTAAGCCAATGGGCCCTCTTGCAAGTGGAACGGAGAGGACACTTTCGTCAGG